TGTTCAGGGTTTTGCTGTCATTGTTGTTAAAGGAGTTTTAAAGTTCACTATTTCTCTACATTTAATTTCTCTAATGACTGGTGACACTGAGCATCTTTTAGTGTATTTACCTGTACTTTATCTTCATTGTAGAAACTGCTATTTAGCTCCTTTGTTCACTTTCAAATAACTTTGTCCTGTCGCTATTTAGTTGTTCATTAAACACTTCAGATACCAGCCCATCAACAAATATGTAATCTGAATTTTTTCCCTAGTGTTATGGGCTACTCGTCATTATGTTTGATGTAGTCTAGTTTATCTATTTATTGCTCTGTTGCTTGTTCTTTTGCTGTCATATCCAAAAGAAAAAGGAAGGAATCTGGTGTCAGGTATCTTCCTGCTTCTTCAGTTCTTAGATTTATACCTTTGAACAGCTTTGGTTGACCTTTTGTGCACAGAATAAAGCAAGTGCCAGGCTTTATTCCCTTATTGGGCATATCCAGCGTTCCAGGAACCCTCTGTCAAATTAATTACCCACCTGGGCTATATTTTGGACACTGAATGTCATCCAAAGACCCACGTGTTAAATGGTGGCACTACCGGGAATTGACAGAACATGTGAGATGTGAGATGTGAGGGGCCCAGTCGCAGGCTTTTAGATCACTGTAGATCACCACTGGCAAGCCTGGAAGGAAGACTGTAGGCGCCACTACTTTTTTTTTTTTCCTACTTTTTAGTCACAGGTTCCCTGAACATCACCTGGCAACCCTACGGAAGGTTTGAAAGTAATGGGTTTACCTTATCATATTCTAGAATCTCTAAAACCTTGGGCTCAAATAAATTCTTTCTTGTCATAAGTCATCTAGCGCCCTCGTCTACTGACCATGCAAATGAGGGATCAGCCTCCGGCTGGCCACTCACTACAGCAGCGCATCTTTCAATCTTCATGCCAGCACCGTGCATCTCTTGTTACAGACACCTTTACTTCTTTTCTTTTCTTTTCTTTTCTTTTCTTTTCTTTTCTTTTCTAAGTCAGCGTAACATTTCGTGGCCCTAGAATTTAGGGTGAATTTTTCTGCTTCTCCAAAACGTGCTGTTTCAGTTTTGATAGAATATATGAATCTGTAGATCACTGGACAATCTTAACATTCTAAGTCTTCCAGGAAATTCACAGGAAATGTCTTTCCATGCATTGCTGTTTCCTTTACTTTCCACAGTATCTTGTACTTTCCAGTGTGCAGGTGTCCGTTGCCCTGGCTGAGAACACCGTTTCCGGTGTTATTCTAAATGGACAGTGTGGATCTTATGCCGAGATCAAGGGGACTGCAACTTCTGTTCACAAGGCTTCCACTGCTGCACAAACCATTAAATGGAGAGCCTGCCTGCCTGCCTAAGGGTACTGGACGGAATCAAGGAATCGTAGTCAGCCTAACAGAAATCTAAACAGATAAATTCAGAGGCCATTTGGCTGCCTTGGTCATGATGATAGATTCTTGAAGCCACTTGAGAAACCCTAGGTGAGACCCACAGATAAACCACTTAATGAATCCAGCCACACTGCTATTCTACAAAATGATGAGTAAATAAAATAATTCAACCCCTGGGACCTATATTGTGGAAAAGGAGAACTGACTGTTGCAGACTGTCCTTGGGTACCTGAATGTGTGCTGTGGCGTATACATGCCCACACAAACACTCAAACATAAAAAATAAATCAACGTGATCTTCAAGTATTTAAAGCTGTTAAGTTGGAAGATGGTTCCAAAGACGACTGAAGCACAATTAATCCATGTTCCTCACTATTTCTTGTCTGTGGTGTTTTATTCACCACCCATTTTACTCATTTAAAGCACCCAAGAGGTTAAGATTTATTCTGAAACAAGACAGAATTCTTTGATGCTAAATATTCTACATTATTCATCAAGCTCATGAATGATTTACAGTTAGAATGTCAGCATTCTAAATAATTTATGTGTTTTTAAGTAGATGGCTTAAAATGAAATCTTACCAGAACAAAAGAAACACAGATTTTGTTTTTCTAAGTGCTTCAATATTGGAAAAAAAATGGTAAACAGATACTGCAATTGTTTTCAAGCTAACCAATGGAACACAGTGCTAATATTTATTGGTAATTATTACTAAATTTACTGAGGACAGATTTTTAAATCTTAATGCCTCATTATGAAAAGAACTCAAGTAATGAAGACATTTAGGAGAAAAGCATTCAAACTTAAAAATATTTATAATCCCAGGCCAGCAAAATGGTTCAGTGGGCCAAGACACCTGACACCACACCCAGCGGCCCAAGTACAAATTCCAGAAATCACATGGTGGGAAGTGAGAACCATTTCTGCCTTCTGATTTCTAAACATACAGAACCCATACATACACACATACATAGCAAGAGAGAGAGAGAGAGAGAGAGAGAGAGAGAGAGAGAGAGAAGAGAGAGAGAGAAAGAGAGAGAGAGAGAACCAGAGACTGATATTGGGGTTCACGTTTCAAGCTGAAGATCAGAAAAGCGAAGCAGCCAGCCACTAGCTCTTACGTCTACCTCAGTTCAGACTAAAGGGGTGATCCTCAAACTGCTGTCAACTTCCCTGCTCCTCAGATTCACTCAGACTGCTATGCTCCCCTCAATGTGGCTGGAGAATGAATGTGAGCTCTGACACCCTGTTCCTGTCTTAAATACCTCTCATGAGTCCTAGGATTAAAGGTGTATGATCCCAAGTGCTGAGGCCATCGCTGTGTGAGCTGTTTCTCTTTAGGACTGGATATATTTCATGTAGCTCAGTGTGGCCTTGAACTAACAGAGATCAGTCTATCTACCTCCCAAGTGCTGGAACTAAAGGTGTGTATCACCACCACCTTATCTCTATAGCTTGTGGCTAGCTTTGCTTTCTGAATCTTCAGGTAAGCTTTAACAAATCATAAATAATATATCAGCACATACATATAAAATACACACAAATACATACACAACTATAAAGGTGATTTTAAAAGTCACTACTTTAAAATAATTATAATCCCAAATCATTTATCATGACATCTTAAAAAATGGGTTAAAACTACTTAAAATTTTAAGATGTGTTTCTATTATGTTTTATTTGCTTATAAATAATCATGTCTACTAATAAATATAATTACAAATGATTGTAATTTTATTTGGAAATTAACTATTCCAGAATACTTTGCAAAGTAATAAAAGTATTTAAAATTTGCTGAAAAAAATTTTTACTACACTTTTTTTTTCATCAAAGAAGTCATCATGAGAACTTAAAGTTTTTCAAGTTCTCTAAATAAATGCATTAAAATGATTTATATGTATTCTTTGAATTCTTTAAAGAAACAAATAATAATAAACCAAACAAATAGAAGATAAAGAAAATGAAACAAAACACACTAGGGCACAGTTTTACTCTGCAGCTCCATGTTAACTACACAGTTTTACACTGCAGCTCCATGTTAACTACACAGTTTTACACTGCAGCTCCATGTTAACTACACAGTTTTACACTGCGGCTCCATGTTAACTACACAGTTT